GCTGTACCTTAGAGTAACCCCCCCCCCGATTTATGTAAGTTCGCAGTTACGTAAATGCGCAAAAGTTGTAACTTTCAAAGAGAAACTTACAAATAAGAAATACGGAACACTAAAGAAGTACTGCTTTCTGGACTGTACTTCTTGCATTCAAACAATATTTGCGTGGTTAAACTTTATTTTTAAATAATCAAGAATCTCTATATATGTTTGTTCCTCGCACTGAGTAAAAACAGCGGTTTGAACTCTACCAAATAAGGGCACCTCGACGCCCGAATTCTGAATTTCGAATTTGTTTCTTATTTATTTCGCATCTTGCGCGAAATTTAATGAATCAAAAAATCTAAAAGATAAAGTTAATGTCACCTTTTTTTAACGCATTTTAATTACTTTTGTAGGAATCAGGTTGTTCTTCAAGATTGTTACAAAGTATAGTACTTCTTCTTGGAGGTGTTTTGTTGTATTGCAAATTCTTTTAATTCTAAGCAGTTGTGCGTAAATTGTATTGAGGACGACTCTTTTAGAAATTGGAATTCCAGTTGGTTAATTTAAGAGTAGGAAAGTTGAAATCTCTTCGTTATCGTAGATTTTCAAAAAATTGTAACTTCTTTTATATATAAAGCGGCTAAGTGTGTGTCGCCGATATTTATTGTTTCCACTCGGAAAATGAGCGCGGAAATTACGTTTCCGCAGTTTTAATTAATACTCGGCCGATTAAAGTCGTACGAAGATGAGAACGGTATCGTAGATTCGGAAATTTTTGGAATCCGAGGATTGCGTCTCGATTTCAACTCGTGCCGTTCCGTAAATATTCGAGAAAAAAGAATTTGGCACGTAGCCAAATCCCTCTAATAGGGAAAACCCAAGAAAGAAAGTGGAAAACGTAGGGGAAAATCAGTTTTTAATTGATATCTCGGCTAATTAAAGTCCCAAGAAGACGCGAATGGTCAAAATGGCGTGCCGCGGACCTGCAGAATCCGACGGTGTGCTTCGATAAGTCCGGAAGCCAGCCGTTTCGGAGGAGATGATGATACTTCACCCCATATATATATGCGGCTTAAGTGTCTGTTTGTCGCCGATATTTTATTGGTTGCTTGCGTAACTGTACTAGCCAATGGGGTGAAGTTGCCACGGCACAGGTTTGCCGTTTCAATTGAGACGTAGACAATTTTTACCTGAGCCTGCATTTGGACACGGTCAACTTTTCTAGATGCCTGTTCAAGAGTTCGTGAAAGAACGGACCTAAAATTAAAAATAATTGATGGTCCTCTGCAAGAGCTTAAAAATGATGGAAAGATCTACACAAGAAATGTTGTGTACAAAGAGATCTTTGACATATGAATTAACATTTCATTATTTAAATCACTTTTATTGATTGAGCTAGCGGTGGGCTATTAAGAAATGTTCCGCCAGTGGTTTCCTTCATTGCACTCTACTTTAAGCAAGTAGAAGGGGGAAACCCCGTGGGGCAGTAAGCAAAGGGGCGTCCTCGCCGCATGCCCTGGGTTATTCAGTTTAAATTAGCAAACACTTTTGCACAAATCATTTTAATTACAATTTATAAGATCTAGAACAGTGGTCATTTCGTATGACCGCCGGGCGTTTTAGTCTATAATATGCAAATCAAGGTAAACTATATCATGTTGGACTGTATTTGTAGTATTAAGTTGTAGGCAGGAAGGGTAGATATTAGCTTTTTCTATTTTGTTGAAGTTGTTGAAGGCTATTATATCATCAATATAACGAAAGATGTGTTGGTAATATTTATGATCTTCATTATTTAGCAACGTACAAAAGTAAATTCTTTTGTAAAAGGGAATAATTCACAGATTGCAGTTGAAAAATTGCCCCCCATAGGTATTCCCTGTATTTGTTTAAAAATGTTTTTATTAAACTGAATATAATTATTGAAAAGTACGTTTGAAAGAAAAAGTTGCCATTTTTTCAGCATTTAATATTGTAGAAATTTGGGGAAACAATTTTGGAAGAGTAAGTAAACTGCTATAAATTTCTTCAAGTGGTAAAGTAGTATAGAGGTTCTCAAAGTCGTAGCATTGAATATGTTCTATTTTAAGTGAATTTAAGGTTTTAAGAATTTCTCTTTGCTTGATATCATCCAGTTGCAATGTTGATCTTTAAAATCATATAATCTCGTTTGAGATGAAGTTTTTGTGCAAAGAGATAATCTACCTCCTTTAAATAACTTCTGGTACTATTGGCAATGAATCTAAACTTAACAGGAGTCTTATGAAATTTTGGAAGTGCAAAAAGATTAGCAAACCTGTTATTATACTTGCAAGTATGGATTTTAAGTTTTTTAAGAAGTGCATTAAATTTATTGAAAAGTATCTTAGAGCTGGTAGAGATTTTTTGATAGGTACAAGTGCTATGCAATTCCTTATGCAGAATGTCGAAATAAATTTTTTTACAAATGACACTGAAATTGTTGATAGCTTTGTCACCTTATGCAGAATGTCGAAATAAATTTTTTTACAAATGACACTGAAATTGTTGCTAGCTTTGTCAATCTTTGTGATGATAAAGTTATCTTGCAGTTTCTGAATAAAAGTTTCTAGATGACTTTGATTGTGGATATGATTGAAATTGGGTAACTTGAAAAGCATATAAGGTATTTCTCCCACTTTCCTAGGTGCCTTCGTGGTGTAGTGGTTCTGCACACTGGGCCGGTATTCCAGATGTCTGTGGTTCGATTCCCGGTGAAGGCGTTTGCAAATTTTTCATCTTTTCTGCTTCCAATTAACCACTTGACTCTACAAGTGGCGCCCGAACTAAAAGGGTTGTGTATGATGATTCTCCGCACCCAGGAATTGGCGACTAGGTCCCCTAAAACCCTAGTCGCCCTTTAAAAAGGGGAGTATATAAGGTATTTCTCCCACTTTCCTAGCGTCCTTCGTGCTGTAGTGGTTCTGCACACTGGGCCGGTATTCCAGAGGTCCGTGGCTCGATTCTCGGCGAAGGCGTTTGCTATTTTTCATCTTTTCTGCCTCTAAAAAAATCCTAATGACTCTACAAGCGTAAGTTGAAATCCTTTAATAAGAGCTGCTTTTAATTCAAGAAAAGTAGTCGTAGGCAATTTGGTGCTATTACTAGCTAAAGTAATAAATTTATCAAGATCATTACTGAATTGTTTAAAGCAAAAGTGCATATTAATACTGAAAGTTGGACGAAATTTGGTACCTAGTTGCATTAGTTCTCGCAGTTGCACATCTTCAGTGATATTGAGAACTCCTGTGATAATATGTTGGTGAAACGGATCTACATATAGTCTTTTTAGCATTATTAATTATTAGCATCGTTTTCTTCGTACTTACGCCACACAAACTGAACAGCAAAATCACAAAAGTTTTGAAAGCAGCATATATTTAGAACTCCCGATACAGCGTTCAGTGATAACATTATTTTTCTATTCCCTCTTTTCTCAGTTCATCATAGCAATGTTCAGTTTTCTTAGCAAGATGGCTTAAAAAACTTTTTGTGTGTAGCTTTTGTCATTAACGTTTGTTTGTTAACTTTATTTATTACATATCACGTTCTTCGCACTCTTGCCACTTAAAATTCAATATCACAAGATATTTAAAAGCAACATACCTTGAGAAATTCCGATAGACAGTCTGGAGATAAAAATGTTTTGTTCCCTACACTGTTGCCACTACTAAGTCGTTGAGTTTGTTAATCAAAAATTTATTAAAGTTTTACAAAATATAAAATAGATAATAAAATATAAAATGTCTTTCTATGAAAATGTGAATATTTTTAATTAAATAGATCTTTAATTAAATACATTTTTATTATTTAAATCAATCCGATTTAAAAGAAACGAATATTCTTAAGAACTGCATCTACTGCTTTCAAACAGCTAAATTTCTTAATCCACAGCAGATAGATTCAAAGAAATACATTCCGATGACCTCGGAGATCACGCAACTTATGCATAACTAATGTAAACAAAAAACGTCATTCTTACATTTCTCTAGCGGAATTTATTTCATTTGAAATATAAATATTAAATAAATTAAATAATCATTAAAATAAAATATATTTATTTCATTTGAAATATATATAATTATATTTTGCCAAATGGCAACAGACTCGAATGAAAAACGTAACGACGCATTTAGAGTGATTCGATGCAAAATAGCATGTCGAGACTATAATAGCCCGTTTGGGCTAAAAATCAGATTATGAGCTGCAGCTTCACTACATAAATTTATAAAGTGTACCTATAATCGTTGGGCCAGAAAGATTAAGTTAGCGCAGTCAAAAAAGCAATACGTTTAGTTTATTATTAAAATCAGTAAACATTTTTATGAAATTATATTAGCTGTTTATAATAAATTAAATAAACTGGGCTCATTAAAGTCTATATAATAATATATATATATATATATATATATATATACACTATATACTATTATGGTCTGTAAGCTGCGCAATCGGCCTGGTTTATAATGTACTATGAAAATAATACATTTAATATTGTATTTTCTTATGAAATTACACTTACACAATTTATAGATTAGATTTATCACCACATAAAATCAGTACATATAACTACTTCCCAATTACCACAAGGATCTAGGCCATTCAAGTTATTTAAAGGTTTAAGAAACACAATACCTACGCAACTCGGGGGGGGTGTCGGTACTATATAAAGACATCAAACGAGAAGACCTGTCGTTAAAGACAATCCAGTATGTATAATAGAGTTCCATGGGCCACAATTAAGGTATCTGAATGATCCTTAAATAGTGATATTTTTGTTAGCAGACTGAAAATCACAGGTTGGCGTTTGTCTTCAAAACTGAGTAAAATTATATTTGAAATTAACACATAAATAAGGGAAGAAAAATAATTACTAGAATTAGCATGAATTGTTTGTAATTAATATCTCAGTCATAATATCATAGTCGATTATATACTGTTTTGGAAATAGCAGCAGCTTGAAAAAATGTAAATATATGCAGAAATAATATATTCCAAAATTCATATTTTAATTTTTATTTTATTAAATTATGCGAAAGAAATGAAAAGATGATTTATTGCAAAGCTTTCAACAACGAATCAATGACACAAACATTTTGCCATTTTTGATAGAAACTGCATAAGATACGAGTCTTAATTCCATTGACTTGGCTAACAAATTGACATGGCAGTGATAAAGCAGGCTTTTTCACAGTATGTTTTTGTAAGGCTATTATATTTTTACTCGTTGTTTTCTCGAATATTTATGCATTTATCTTCAATTTCATCTGAAAAAAAAATATGAAATATATTGCATTATAATTAGATCACATATTATCTTTTATACATATTGTTAAATGGAAGTATAAGTCATAAACACCCGCAAATACTGAAATTAAAGCTGAAAGAAAAGAATACTGAAAGAAAAGAATAATAGAAACAAAGGTGAGAACTTTAGTTCTGTTTCAAGGCATCCAACCAGGAATTTCCGCACTGAAACATGAATTAGCTCCTAGTAGAATTAATTTACTCTGGTAGAACAACATAATTCTGTTCATATTTGTTATTCTGGCCACCATGAAAAAAACTTTGTAGGGTCTTTCTTATTTCTACAGAAGTGATGATGAACCTTTTCGCATAGTTCTACAAGAATAACACGAAAAGCAGCTCATAAAACTAGTATTCGAATCGACCGTCTCAGGCGTAATACAAAGTATTTCTATTTGAAACAAAATAGGATTATCAAGATGCAAAAAGTACTTATGCTGATAAGGAAACTAAACATGTCAAAAATCGTTTGCATGAATATAACATCGAATGGACGAAAGCGAGACATTAGTGGACTAGATCAGCGGCGTGCCATACTTTTCACCTCGCAAAAGCGTTTGACTGTATCTGGCATTGAGACTTTGTTTACAAATTAATCAAACTTAAATAATTTTCAATTAATTCGGATTTAATTCGAATTATCGCTTCTTTTCTTCGTAAGAAAACATTCAGTTTCCGAACGGGAAATGCACACTCGTGGCATAAGACTATTAAAGCAGGGTGTACAAGGTTCAGTTTTAAATCCTTTATTAAATAATATACGTACTTATGACATCCTCCAATTCAATTAGAACACTTCGACGACGATAAAACTGTTCTGACACAAGGAAAAACACTTACTGTTATCTTCAGCATTATCTTGATTTGCTAAATGCACGGCTTACAGATTGAAGAATTTCAAATGATATTAATAAATCAAATGTGATTCTATTTCGCAAAAAAGTCAGTCTCAATTTACCATCTACTCCCACATTATTTGAAGAAGAAATACACTAGAACCAAGAAGTCACATACCTTGACATCATACTTGAAAACAAATTCATTTTTAGATGTGATGTTACCAAATTAAAAAAATAAATATTTCCATAGTTAATTTTTGACCTCTTTTCGGTAAACATAGCAGCCTTTCTCTCCAAAATTCATAATATTGTATAAAAGAATAATTCGTCCAGCCTTACTTTAAACCTCCCGCATATGTGGTCATGCCACAAAAACAAATTTCTATAAAATCAAAATTCTGCAAAATAAAGCTCTCAACGAAATAGCCAGTGTTCCTTGATTTATAAGGAGTAGCATATTACATACTGATTAAAAAATCGAAACTATCAAAAAATACGTTTCCAAAACTGCTCGCAATTTTTACTACAATATTATACATCATCAAAGCACTGCAATGTCACTTCAAAATCACGAACCACGACCACAAGAAAAGCAGCCGTGCCTAGCTGCTATCCTTTTGTGACAATTAGCATCAAAGAAAAATTTTAATGTTTTTGACGGATATCCCACTGTTTTTTACTACATCACTATCTGCAAAGTCTCGCTATCTGCAAAGGAGCAGAGGGGCTACTCGATGAAACTTCAGAACAGTGTATATTCTTACACCTTTCACCACAAGGGTCCAGACGTCAACCCACATTACATTTTGAATCAGAAATCTAAAAAGTGAAGTTATAAAGTATTTCTGCCTTCTTCTTAGCGAGTCTTCGTGGTGTAGTGGTCTGCACGCTCAGCGCGTAGTTGAGAGGTCCGCGCTTCGACTCCCGACGAAGGCGTTGCTATTTTTTCATCCTGCCTGCTTGCAAAAATGCCTAATGTCTCTACAGTGGCGCCCGAACTAAAAAGGTGTTGGATGATGATTCTCCTCATCCAGGATTTGGCGATTGGGTACCTTAAAAACCCCAGTCGCTCTTTAAAGGGGGAGTATATAAGGTATTTCTCCCGCATTCTTAGCGAGCCTTCGTGGTATAGTAAATCTGCACGTTCAGCGTGTAATTGAGAGGTCCGCGGTTCGATTCCCGGCGAAGGCGTTGCTAATTTTTCATCTTGCCTGCTTCCAAAAAATATCTAATGTCTCTACAAAGTAATGTGTAATATGCTACAGTAGAGTTCTGAAAATACGAACGGCAGAGGGAAATCTCCTTTCTTCTTCGTGGAAAAGTAATCATATCACAATAAATAATAAAATAAATAAATCTTTAATTTCATGAATGCCACAATAAATAAAATAAATGAATAAAAATACATGTCTCAAAAGAGTACAAGACTAAAAAAACACACTATTTCTCAATTTGCCTATCGTTAAACATTTTGAAATTACAGTATTCCATTTTGGAAAGCCGTGTCTAATATTTCTTTCCCATTACCAAATTAGATTCACTTTCCTTGAGGAGTCGTTTCTCACTTAGAGTCTCTGTCCACAGTTTAAATTCGCAGTTACTGCTCCAATATATTTTACTCTGAATTCTTTCACGAATTATAAGAACGCTTTCAAGAACACCAGTTTAAATTTTTAAATACTTTCAAGAACACCAATTAAAATCTACAAATAAAAATTAAAAGTAATTTCACTTTTAAGGAGCATAAAAATTTCTTATGACCTGCAGCCATTTAGTAAAACACACATTTAATATAGCATCTACAGATACACATATTGATCAGATTAAAGAAATATTCACTACTACGTCACATTTTAGTAATATTAGTGCCTTAGTTTTTAAGTTTTCGATAATGCTGAATTAGATTTTGGAATCAGATATAAACTAAAAAAAAAAAAAAAATTTAAATCATTTCTGCAATTAGTCTTCTCGCTTATGCATAAAGACGAATTAATTATCAATCCAGCCGACTCACTTATGTATCAGTTATCAGTTAATTGTCATAAATTGGTAAATCTTATTTGTCGTTATTTTATAGTTCATAAACCATTTATACAGAGCATGAAAAGATATTTCCTCACTTTAGTCTCCCCATAATAAACACCCCTTTATAATGGGGAAAATATTTCAATCATTAATTCTAATTTTTTGCTTTTTTATACAAATGGTATGAGAATTTAACTCCTGGAATGCACTTTAAAATAGGCATATGACAGAGCTTAAATTGTGCTTGTGCCCACTAGATCACGGCTCCGGTACTTCTCAAATTTCGAGATAAATTATAGTTTCAGCCGGAGTACACCGAAACCCTTTTATTTAGGGCTCCGGCACTTCTTTTATGTAGGAGAACCACAATTTTAGCAGATAAATTTTGTTTTAATAGTAAAAACATGCCTTAAAATTCAATTCTAACTTCTGAATGCATGCTTGTCTTTCTCTCGCACTAAAGCTTTGCGCAGAGGTTGACTTTTAAGGAAACAAAAGCTCGTAATCATATGTCAAAGGCTTATTCTCCAGGATGTGCGATGGATTTTCCGGGCAAATTTTATGTTCCTCAGAGTACTAAAAGTGATACCCTGGTCGTGCACGTTCCACGCTAGTGACTTCTTACTGCAGAGCTCCTGTAGATTTTCTGAATGATGTAACCAAACGGGGGGGGAGACCACTGTTGTCATTTGTATAGAGAAGTTTTACGTTTATTCTCACGTTGTTACCGAATCGTATTCAGAGAAAATTTCTGCTTGACGGCTAGAAATTATATCGACATGGCATAGTGATCAGAATGTCTTGAACTCTTTCCTCTTTACTTTCAAAGCTACACTTTTCTGTTAAAAATTCCTTCCATATGCTCATGCTGTTTCTAGAATTCTCATTATTCTTCAAAAAACGAGTGATACCTGTCATTCCTTGGAATAGTACATTATACGTATAATCAGAGCTTAAATTCAGACGGAAATCAGCTAAGCTCCTTCTTAGCTTATAAGGTATTTCTCCCGCCTTTGTGGTGTAACGGTATCACACTGGGCCGGTATTCCAGAGGTCCGTGGTTCAGTTCCCGGCGAAGGCGATTGCTCATTTTTCATCATGCCTGATCTAAAAAATCCTAATATCCCTACAGTGGCGCTCGAACTAAAAGGGTTGTGGATGATCCAGTCGCCCTTTTTATAAGGTATTTCTCTCACCTTCTTGGCGTGCCTTCGTGGTGTAGTGGTTCTGCACGCTGGGCCGGTATTCCAGAGGACCGTGGTTCGATTCCCGGCGAAGGCGGTTGCTAATTTTTCGTCTCTTTAGCTTCGAAAAAAATCCTAATGTCTCTACAAGCTTCTAAGTGGACTTGTAATGCCAAGCCAATGCCTTAAATAAGACAAGGTCCGATATTTTTTTTCTATTTAACTATTTAAAATTAATTTAATAATTTATTAGATTTCTTTTTATCTCCTTACATTTCTCCTAATTTAAAATTAATTATTTTAATTTTTATCTATTTTATTCATTTATTTTTTCTTTCGTTCCTCAGAGTTTTCCATAGGTCTCCGGCACTTCTAATTTTGGAAATTAAGCCGTGTTATATGGAACTGTTGCCTTCGAAATACTTCCTTTATGTAAACTATACATCAATTTAGATGCCGGTCTCATTTCTTAAAGCAAAAGTGGATCTCTTTTCTGAAACACTACTAAATTATCTATCTCACATTCTACTATACATCAGTCATATTAGAAAAATCTGCATCCCTCCAGTACATTTAAAATTTTAAGAACAGTATAAGAAATCACAGGGAGTTAATCCGGATAAAACGGTAGTTAATTTAATTTCGTGATCGCTTTTCAGTCCAGAAATGTCTCACATTTGGAGCTCTTTTATTTTGAATGACAGGCACAAACTTCGCAGAAAATTTTTGCAAGCCTTGATCTTTAGCTATAATTAATTCGTTACTTTTAAACTATAATTTTACACTTAATCATTGTTGGAACTTCTCGCATCTCACACTCTGTTATTATTAATATCCGTGTTATTTTTATCCTCCGCATCTAGGACTAGGGCAATCTATCGCATCTTCTGATTCATCTTTAAATCTCTTATA